ACGACGCCTCTCAGATCATCACGGGAATCACCATTTCGGAACATATTGCCAGGAAGGCAATCCCGGACTACGAGCCGATTACTGACATGCAAGGCGCCATATAGACACACCACGCCGACCACATCGTGATTGCTACGCAGATCTTCAAGGTTATTCAACCAGGACACGAGGGCGAATGAACCTAGCGTCACCCTAGAAGGGAAAGATCTTCGTCGGCACACAGACTGAAGGGCATGTAATAAAGTTCAAGAGGGGTACTCTTGTCCGAATTCATCACCGGCACGGCTCTTCAGACTGAATCCAGGACGGGATTCACATAGATTGATATATCTACTTTAGAAGACTGATAGCCATATAGAGATCTTCACTTCCGTACAAATCTGCAGATATTCTCACTGGCGTGGTTCAACAGCAGCCTTGCTAAGGCTACGTAACTACATACTCGTCAACGATTCCCTGAGTAGAATTTCCAACAAAGTTCAGCATTAATTCTACAATTACGACGCTTCATTGAGATGACTGTATGCAGTCTACAGGAGCAGCACTGACAACGTGACGATTTCAGCTGATCATCTGTATAAAGGGCGACGACATTATCTTCAGGACTGAAGTAACAGTCACAGCAGCCAGGAAAACAGCCTACCTACATCGGTATTACGCGGCGAAATATTTCGGCGCTTAACCATTCAACCCGATACACGTGGTCACTTAACCAACTTCAACCCTACGATACAGACAAGACCGAGATGTGATCAGATATCAACGGCGCACTAGATTCTACAAGGATCTTTTTCCTGCTACAACGGTGACGCCACAGCCAGCCAAAGGAATCAAAATGCTTTATTTTGATTGGACCACGAGACAACGCCTACGCGCAGAGGTTCACACGATGGGTCAAGAAGTGGGTTACAAGTGACAACAACCTGTCAGCGAGAGAGGAAGGCCTCAATTACAGTCCAGTTAGGCACCCACGTGGATTTGGCTGCCTTCACGGTCATCATTGCAGACGATTCATCAGGGTTTGCAGCAACATACGCTGGACAGGCTTTGGGTGACGGCAGCCAGATATATAGACTTCACAAGATGGCAGTCACGGAGCTGGACATTGCTTCATTCTCTTACGGACACGGCAAGGGTTTCAAGATCGTTATAGATACAAGTCCTTGTATCTCAAGCACTACTCTCCGCTATTACTACGAAGGGCAGAGTCTGTTGGTTCTTCTCACGTCAGTGCAAGACATGACACGCAGAGGGAGTCAACCACTACACTCACTACAGGTCTTCGTGAATGTACAACTGGACGATCCGGACCCCTTCGGACTCCCGGACAGATTAAAATCCATATCTAATATGGTGGACTCAGAGATCGGAGGGTCGCAGACGCACCTATTTAGCAGAGCCGGAGTACAAGACGCATCTCTATGTGGACGCATCTCTCCAAGATTGGGGAGCACACCTCGACACCGATGTGTCAGCTGGGATATGGACCATAGCAGAGAAGATCTGCACTTCCACATGCTGGAAATGAAAGCAGTGATAAACGCCATACTCTACTGGACCAGCATTTTTAAGAATGCTCATCTGACGGTACATACAGTCACCTCCACAGTGGCGTTCTACATCCACAGAAGGATCAACAAGGTCGGCGAACCTTCTGGACCTCTGCTTTCAACTGGCCAGCATAACAGTCAACCTGAATGTCCACATCAGAGCATGCCACATTCCAGGAGCCAAGAATGTGATAGCAGATGCACTATCCTGTCCAACGCAGCCATTCTCAACAGACTGGATGCTACATCCAGAGATCTTCAAGCAGATCATACAAGAGATGGGAGCACCTCTTACCAGAGGTGTTCCGGCTACACGTGTGGACTGTATCAAGGCATGCTTGAACAAGAGAGGATATTCCGCCAGGGCAGCAAAAGCAGTCACACTAGCTTTACGCAAGTCTACACGCAACTTGTACGACGACAAGTGGCGACGCTTGAACATACGCTTCGAGGACCGGCTTCACAGCCATGTAAGCGACACATCCTCAAGTGGCGGACTACCTTTGTCTCTTAGACAACCGAAGCGGTTAAAAGGGTCAACACTCTCAACATACCTAGCGGCATTGAGCTCAGTTATCGCCATGAGGACGAGTGCAACTGACGAAAGTACCAGAGTTACTGGCCTTACTACGCCCTTTTAATTGAAGGACCAACAACAGAGATTTAAAGCTCCGGCGTGGGACCTCAACGTAGTTCTACGACATCTCACTAGTGACATCTACGAACCATTACAGAGAACATCATTCGAGTTCTTGATGCAGAAGACGCTGTTCCTGATAACCTTAGCAACAGCAGCAAGGATGTCGGAATTACATGCTCTGGACTTCAAGAGAACACGATTTGATGCAAATCAAAACATCGTGCATATGGGACTGAGATGGGACTTCATAGCAAAGAATCAACTGCCAGGTCATCCAGACAGACAGTTCCATGTCCCAACACTATCATCAGTCCTTGGACCACAGGATACGCAGGTCCTATCCTTGTGCCCAGTGAGAGCATTGAAAGTCTACCTACAAAGATCCAGGTCCAGGTGACGGAAATTCAAGTGTCTTTTCGTCTCGATATCGACAGCGACACAGACGGAGGTCTTCCGCACTAAGATATCAAGCTGGATCAGAACTGTCATACTACGGGCCTCCAAAGCAGCAGGACTTGATCCTCCAAGAGCCTCCAACCCACATGAAGTTAGAGCTCTGGCGTCAACGCTCGCTCTACATGGGAATCGCTCTATCAGGACGATAATGGAGGGCTGCTTCTGGAAATGGGACATGGTGTTTGCCAACCACTACCTGAGGGACATCGCCACTGAGGACGGCTCTGGCATTCACCATTTCGGCCCACTTGTTGTAGCACAACAATTGACAGTCCCACAAAGGCTCTGAGACGGAGTCTCGCCCTTTTATCACATGACTTACAAAGCCTACACTCAGCAGAGTTCTGCTTAAGTCTCAATGCACATCTAACGACTAGCATAAGTGATATGACCCAGTACTAGTAAGGATACTCTTACAGAAAAGGGTCGCTTCTCCACTTGGTGCTTGCATCAAGAAATGGAGTCACAAAAATCCACATAAAATGTTAACAGAAGAAAGGACCAAAAGTTAACTATTGTGGTCCCCCCATCAGAGAAAGCTGGAAGTGAAGGGTTACAGCAGCAGCAGAGCCTAACAGTAAAAGAAGTGCAACCAGGAAGTTCCCATAGGGGGGTATGTAAGACGTAAATCACTACATGGAATCCAGAAGTGGCTTGACCCACCACCAAATCCATCGGGAATTAACTACATACATACATACTAACATTTGTATAGCGCCGATATCCAGCTCAGCTGCTCAAAGGCGCTTTGTTTTTCCCTCGTTCACTGGATGTCAATCTCAACGGCACATCGTATTGTCAATCTCAACTCCCTGGGGAGCATACAACTCTTGCAGCCACTAGGCGCACCGAGTTAGTGTGGCATTCCCATCCTTACGAGGTACCCATTTTACAGCTGGGTGGACTGGGACACATAGTCACAGTACTTTGTCCATGTTTACTGCACGTTGCTGTACCCTCAACTGGGTGTTTGCACGTATTCATGTGGCCACCATCTGGTCATATACCAACGGATTCGTGGGTTCTTTTAAGTGCACAGGGTTGTGTACTGTACACTAGGGGTTGTGACAACACTGAAAGAGTCTGCACACAAAGTTGACTCCAAGGGTTTTACACCCGGTCACAGGTGGGCTCGATCCCGGCACCGCTGGATCACTAGCCTGGCGCTTTAGCCAGTTCGCCCACCGCACTCCCAAGCATGAGTCAGGATAAGGAAAAATATGTAATTTTCTGAATAAAATTGATATTTTATACTTATCCTGACTCATGAGGTAAGCCCTCCCAACCTCCCCGCTAGACACTTTGGATTTCCCTGTAAATTCAAGTGTCGGGCTCATAATTCGGAGAGAGTGAAGCATGGGAGTACGGTGGCGCCGCTTTCCCGCCAAAACGGCCAGACAGATAACTCTTGGTGAGTGGTGATTTTACGTCTCTTTTTATTGAAGGGAGCTTCAATAGGTGATACAAGTGTTCCACTAAGTTCGCAAGAGGAAGGAGACAAGCAATTAAGCATGAGTCAGGATAAGTATAAAATATCAATTTTATTCAGAAAATTACATTTTGGAATCCCACCAATCTCCTAGAACATTACATTATTCCTGTCAGTATTATTATGAAGATTGACACGTAGTAATCGTAGTGTATTACTAACTCTAATATTTTCTGTTTTACTGTGACATGATGCTTTGCCCATCGTGCCATGGTAGTCAAGTTGAACATGTAATTTGGGTCCTTTGCTTAGCCAGTTTTCAATCTCATTGAAATCAGATCTTAGTGCTGGTACACACAGATATGAACTACAGCCCATTCCAAGCAGTATTTCCCACAGGTCATGGAAAGTCTCTTCCATTTGAAATATTTCTCCCATTGAAATAGGAGATACAGACAAGGATTTCATGAAATGAGCTGCGCAGCACATAACTGCAATAACCGTGTAAGCCTGTTCAAGGCTCAGTCTGGAAAGTGATGTTCTTATTGGTCAGGCACGGGTTGTTCTGGCCCATAATGGGATGTCCTCAGATGTTTGTTTTGTGGCAGCAGGAAATAAGATCTAATTTTAATATGATTGAGCCAGTTCTTCATGCATCATTGTTATTGGACATTCTGTGAATGTCTGTTGAGTAAGTATTTCTGTTAGGTTGTTTTATCATTGCCCATTACCTTTGTAAGACCTTTTTCATCTGATATGATAATCAAGAAATGTTCCCGTGAACCGCAGAGTCTTTATTTGTTTAAGTATTGCCTTTTTTCCAGGCATATTTTATTACTGATTAATTTGTTTTGACATTTCTATGTCTCATTATGCAAAGAAATATGGTAGAGGATTTTACCAAACATCTTTTCCTTGTTTTCAGGTTGTAAAGCTATCAACAATTGTGACCCTTGCAAGAGAAGCTGACATACATGTCAAGTTTGAACTACCACTGTAAATAATCCTCAGTAATGTACTGTTTCCATGAAATGTTCTGAAAGTTGTTTATTTGAAGAGACTGTGTAGATAAAAGCGCACACACCAGACTTCCAGTATGGGTGACTGGTGGTAACTGTTAACTCTCTCTGACAGGAAGTGCTGAATCATGAAATGTGAGCCCAGGCTGTAGACAGGCATTCACATCCACAGATGCTAGATTTCAAAAAGAACTCTGTTTGATGCTGAAAATTGAAGATGTTTGTGTAGCCATGTCAGCATTAATTGGTACAGTGTTAAACCGATGTGGTCTGTGTGGTCAGTGAGAGCAGGCACTGGATGTGAGGCGATGTATGTGTTTACAGTGTTGTATGTGTGCATGGAGTGACACACCAGTGTTGGTTATTTCAGGTTGTAGCAGAGCTTGGGTAAGTTTGCTGGTGGGTTGAGTATACTGCTGCCTGTGTAGGTGTACGCCAAAGGTGGTCTAACCATGTCCCTGCCACAGATCACCCTCCTCTCTCTCAGACTAGTTGTATTCCTTGTCAGTCTGCCTCTTACGTCCCTGGCCTTCTACACTGGCTGGTCATTAGAAATGTCTGACTTGGCATGGAAGTAGATTACCAGCTGCAGGCCCTAATACATGTATATTGTTCAAAAATACCACTTGTTAAGGCCAGGCTATAACAACTTTCATATACTCACTTTGATAACGTAATGTCCTCCAGAACAACATGAAGTGACTGACCAGGAATATACCCTGGCTCTGTTTAGACTTTGGCCTCCTGTGTTTATCCAGTGTTTAGAATGTAGTAACAGTGTATTTCGTCACCCACTGTTTTCTTCACATATCATTGACTCTGGAGAGCTATGATGAACACTTCACTGTGTTGTCTGTTCACTGTTTTTTTCTCATTCCCTGGATTACAATGATGGCTGAGCATAATATGGTGTCTGCCGTTAGTACTATTTATATCATATTTGTCACAGTAATAAGAGAGAAGAGTTTTCAGCTTAGTATTGGTAGGTTGAGATAACTTCAGTGGAATCTGTCTAAAGAATGTTTGTGAGAAAAGTCAACACAATGATTATAACAAACTTAATCTCGTTGGTCACATTTACTTTCGATTCTGTTCAGTTGTAACTGTTTAAACTGTTTGATAGTTATGTAACTGTATTTCTGAATAAACCTTTTGACCCATGCAACTTTTAGATCAACTTATTTTGCACTTGGTAATATTAGCTATGATACTGCTATGCCCACAGACATTTTCACTGTCAATCTTTGTTGTGATCACGTTGTTATTGAAGAGAACTGGACATGTCTAAACTTCAAGTGGTCCTCTGTTTCAGTCCAGATCAGACAGATTTTACTTGAAAACAATGTATTTAGGATATTTGGTCATAATTTCACCGAGATTTGTATTGTACAGATTCCACTGTATTGCCACTATTTTGCATCTTAACACTACTGTGACTGTTTTAACTGCAGGCTGATGAAGCAGAAATAGGAATGTAAAGCATGCTGAATAAAATTGTGGGATGAATTATTTTTCACATGCTTGTCACAGAGAGTTTTTGTCTTTCCATCTTGCACAAAGTTGCTTGGTATAACTATCTAGAACAGGGCATTGTCATGGTTTCCACTTAGCCATGTATGCAGGGCATGCAGGTACCTTTGTCAACAACATTGACCTTTGTCAGTGTATGGACATGATTAGCATGTATGAAATAGTTACACTCTTAAATAATTTTTGTTCCTCTCTGTGTACTGAACTTCTATTTCCACTTCATATGGCATGCTTAGCTGAGTGAAATAGTGCTCTAGTCTAAACCATATTTTTTTCACACCTAATAACATCTCCCCTGGATGGTGGAACTGGTTGGTGGAACTGGTAACTGTTGACTAATTGTGCACATGACTAATACAGGGGTAGGAGACCTGATTGTGTCATTGAAACTATCAGCATTGCATGTATTTGTATTAACAACTCACCAACTCATTCTTTGTCCTGTTACATGTTGATAACACACTCATTCTTGTTTGTCCAAATCTAACAACTAAACTATCAGTTGAAACAGTTACAGGTATTCTGTGTGAAACAATGCTGGGATGGGTAACCAATATTCTGACTTGATAAACAAGACATGTGCAGGGTAAAATGTACCCAGACTCCTAGCTTTCTCAAACTTCGTCTATTTAAAACAGAAAACAAATAATATGAAACTTTTGTAATGTTTTCTTTTGGGTCATTTTTTAAAATTCTTTCTGTAATGTACATGTTATAGGTTAAACTTGTTAGTACGTAACAAGAATACTTATTCAAACTTCAAAATTGATCATAACATAACCAACTTAACACGTAAAGTTATGTTCAGAGCAGGTACCCTACTTGGGTACTGGGATACAGGACTCTTTCCCAGATTATATTTCTAGGGCAATTTTAGTGGGTAGTGTTCAAATAATGATGCTCAAGAATTAATGAAAAATCCTTAATATGTAAATGATATGTAACTTTTCACTAATTGATGCATATCTTTGTTACAACTATTTACCATTCCCAGGCTCATGACTTCTATAAAGGACACCCTGACTAGCCTCCAGCCTGTTGTGGATCACATAATCCAGTACCACCTTGCAGTGTGGCTGGCAGGACATGTAGATACTGACTGTACAGAAACCCAGTTGCTGTGTAAAGAGAGATGATACAATGTGCTGACTGATGCAGAATATTCATTCATGCCACCATTAAAACATGTTATTCTTTTCCCATGCTTATGTCTTCATGTTTGTAGAATTTAAGTTACGAATATTACTTCGCAATGCCAGTTGATGCTTGAAATCCTAGATATGCCAAAATAAACAATCAGCTTAACCATGTTATGACTGAAAGGGCCTTTACTCCAACAAAGACCTGTGAACATTATAATTAGTGGAGATATACTCTGCCTTGGGCTGTTGTTTATTATTGTCATACTGTAGTATGTAGACTGAGGGGGTGATCCAGACTTTTGAAAAGGGCATGCATGTGGGCCATACTAATCCTTAGAACAGTGGGGATTAAGGCTATAATCTGTATTAGAAATGCAAGTATACCAGCAAATATGGAGAAACGGTTAAGTTCATCACATTTTGTCAATTGCAACTACAATAAATACACAAATATGAACCATTTGACAAATATGGTGACATTTTTAATTTTACTAATATTGCATATATAACATCAACAAATACACAATATTGCATATATAACATCAACAAATACACAATATTGCACATAACATCAACAAATACACGAATATGAATTATTTGACAAATTAGGTGAGAGTTTAGATTTTATTGCAAATACTTTCAGCAAATGCATGGATATACATTAAATGTTATTTATCATTTATTTCACGTGACATAAACACATTCACAATCCCACCAGATTATCAACTTGTTGTCTTCAGAGTGCAGAAGGAAGCTGGTCTCCGGTTGTTGTCTGCTTATAGTTGTCAGGAAGGTTGATGTCTGACTGTAGGGTGCTAACAAGATTGTTGGCAGTGTTCATGGTTGCAGGACAACATTTTTTACAGCATCCCCAGAGGACAGTTTCATTTCTTCTTGATTTCACTCTAAACATATAACCATTGGATACTAAACTCTGGCCACCCAGGGAATTGGGAACAAATTGAGCATGTGCCTCTGCCATTGTAGAATGGCTTGTTGTAAACTAAATTGCTGTTTTATAACCCTCTTTCCTCATGTCATATTTGATTACTGGGAATTCCCGTATTTAAGCCCTGGGAAAATCACTGTTCTTGTGATGAAATATTTTAACCATATTTAAGCCCATGGCTTAAATTCGAAAATGCACAATATTTTGATAAAAAGGAAAAGAATCAGGATTTTTTAAAAGTCTCTAATCCGGAAACAGGTCTGTAAATTCAAAATTTAAAGTTATGAAAATGTTTACTGGAGTGAGTACATGTGAACGTGAATGATAAAGTTATAAAAGTATATTCAATGCAAAACATGAACTTCAAACTAATAGTTTGAGTTGAGTTTAGTTGGGCTTTACGTCACATCGGCATTATTCCAGCCATATAGCGACCAGATCAAGTCTGAATTCATGAACATTTTACCTTCAAACTAATCTGACAGGACTGACTGATTGATATCTATGGCAGTGACACTATTCAGAGTCAAAGTATCCGCGTTTGGAAAGGGACGACACTCTAAACACCCAAGAATTAAATCCAAATTTAAGCCCATGAAAATAAAATCCCGTATTTTAGCCCATAAATTTCGCGTGGACCTAAATACGGGTACTTTCAATGAGTTAGTTCAATAATCATTATGAAGTGAGGTGAGGTCATGATCAGTGAGTGAACTTGGTGGTCAGTGAGCTCCACTTCCTTGAACGCACTATAATTGTGCAAGCACTGGACTGTTAATCCTAATCCACTTATAGCCAATTAAAGTGCAGGCAAAAAAGAGATTACACCTAATACCTAATACCATGCTTTGGTAGTGTGTCATCATGCCCACTTTTGCAATATCTATTTGACAGAGTATGTGTTACAAAGAATAACCTATTTTATAGTATTTATAAGGCTTGATATTTACACAAAATACTCCTTAACTTATAATAGAATTTACACAATACAATAATCAATGCACTAAATTTACACAACATTTAATACACAGCAGTCAATAGAAAGGAAGTGTACACTAAAGGATCATATTTTTGTTGTGTGAAACAAAACGGAATTTTACAATTAGTTAATATTAGCGTTTGAATATATGCGCTCATTTTTCTCACATTAAAAGTAAAACTCCCAAGATAAGCGTTGACATTTTATGCCATGTATTGAGGAGCCTTTGTTTTCTAAGCTAAACGGACTAACGGGATCGGGTGGTCAGGCTCGCTGGCTTGGTCGACCCATGTCATCGGTTCCCAATTGCGCAGATCGATGCTCATGCAGTTGATCACTGGATTGTCTGGTCCAGACTCGATTATTTACAGATCGCAGCCATATAGCTGGAATATTGCTGAGTGCGGCGTAAAACTAAACTCACTCACTCTCAGCTCAACGGGCCAGAGATACCCCCATAGATTAATTGGTGTCAATTGATTTAGACTGGTCTCCTGTCTCGTCCCAAAAGATGAAATTAAACACGTGAACAAGTGTGCAAAAAGTACAAAAGATGCATGCATGACTGGATGTCAGTGATTGATAGTGTGCATTTTCATTCATAAACCTCACCTCAATGTTCCCAAATATGTAGAATAATATTGACGTTCGTGTGACATCACTTTAGGTAAGCGACTTTCCCAAAATGACCAGTTCACCGACAGGGCGCTGGGAGTAAAGACAATGAGACCAGTTGGAGCACGGATCTTTTACAATATGGGAAAATGATAGTGTAAATTTTTTGTGTGATATATCCCCATGTTACTACAAGCTCTGGCTCTTTTTTCAAATAACTGTTTGCAATTCTTGGACTAGCTGCAGAAAAATAATTGACTCCTCAACAAGTGAAATCACTTTCTAATTTCCTCCAAAGTGCGTCCTAGAGTAAGATGTTATACATTCTTGACTGTTTTGCTTGCTGTTTAACACTGCACTCAGCAATAATCCAGGTACAATGTATATTTAAGTAATATTTGGAAGTAATCTAGTCTGGACCTGTCTGTCCAGTGACTGATGTCATGAGCATCGATCTACACCACTGAGATACGAAGAAATGTGTCAACCAAGTCAGCGAGCCTTCATCAACCGTTCTCGTACGACAAGCATGGGTAGCTGAAGGTCAATTCTTACCCGGATCTTCACGAGTGCAAAATAAATGAGATGTAGCGAGAATATGCATACTGAGAGAAAAGTTCTGTTTGCAGCGTAATATGACAGAATGAGGAAAGTATCAGCGCTAATGTTGGGTCTGGTGGTGTTGGTGAGTGAGTGAGTGAGAAGGTATAATTAAAATTAGGCCCCTTTTAGCAAGATTCCAGTAATACCACGGGATTAGTAGTAGTGGGTGAATGTGGTTTAACGCCGCTTTTAGCAATCTTCCAACAATACGGGCTTCACACATTGTACCCATGTGGGGAATCGAACCCGGGTCCTCTATGTGACGGGCAAACCCTTTAACCACAAGGCTATCCCACCACATGGAAACTTCTGACATTAAAGTCGATCCTTTAGTTACTGCGGGCAATATCAAAACCAATGTATGTTCTCTTAAAATATTAAAGGGGTACTCGCAGTTTACAAATACAAATCCACGATCTTGAAAGACATAGGAAATGTCAATGTAGACATGTTTGAATCAAGAGTTCGCAGTACCGACACAATCTATCAAACTCGTAACTCATACTCCAGTAGCCTGGCGAAAGTGTGCAGCATTTTGATTGGCTGGTTGACCTCGGTTTCGTCGAGCCAGGTTTTGGATCAATTGATCCTGTACTTAGGTGGTTGAGCTTGGATGCCTGAAGGAGTCAGTCAGCAACGTTTTGGATTTGTTGGTACCTGTTTCGTAGTTTGCAATCACTACATGCACAGACGTTAAACAATCTGGCCACTGCTCCGGACTTTGCAAGTTTCGGAAATGCAAAAAGTCTTGGTCGATGTTATAGCCATCGCTGTCGAATGTGCACTCGAATTATTCCAAACACTGAGCTAAGGCAAATGCGTGTTTTCGAAAGGGTTCAAAGTTACAAGTCGCAAAAGTATTGTTAGGTCACCAATAAATATCTTTACTGTGGTTACCTGTCGTTATTTGGCTGTCGTGGATAAAAATCTAATCTAATCTAATCGACCACGTGGTCTTCTCTGGTAGTCATACTACTGGAAGAAAGTAACTGTGCATTATTAGAGGTTATGCCATTTCTTAATGCAAAATGATAATAACATGAGTTGTGGCACATGAGGAGGCCCAATGATCTCATCCCTATATTGCAGACCTCTTAGATTGTCATTGACAGTCAGAACTTCCGACCATGAGATGTGATTCTCACCCATACCATAACGCTTTCACCTCTATCTACGCCGAACAACGCACTCGTCAACATTCCGTTCACCTCGCCGTCTGTACAACCTTGCCCTGCCATCAGAGCTATCCAGATGAAATCTCTACTCGTCAGTGAACAAAACACCATCCCAATCTTGTCTCCTGTACCGTAGATGCTGTCTGCACCAGGCAAGACGTGCCTGTCGGTGACGTTGGAGCAAAATTGGATATATTGCAGGTCGTCGGGACTGGATGTTGTGCTCTCAGTCGGGTCCGTACAGTCCTGAAAACTGACTGGACGTAAGCCAGGAATGGTCCGAGCAGTCAAACTGGCAGTCTGGAATGGATTCCTTAGATGGGTCAGCCGAATGTGCTTGTCTTGCTGACGTGACGTCACACGTGGACGGCCAGTCAGACGCAAATCGCTCATGTTCCCATTATGTTGAAAACGTCTCCATAGAGATGAGATCGTGTTTCGATGGACCCCAACATTCACAGGCTTGTAGAATCACCTGTTCTCCTATTTTTAAATTTTAGGTGTGTGAACTTTAGGTGTCAAAAAGCATGTAAAAAGTGATTAAGTTCATTATGCACAAAGTGTAGTGCCACGCGCGATATGTGACATTATATGCCAAGTGCTCTAGCAATAATTTGTAAGCTGCTACATGTTTATTTGGGGTTATTTTTATCATTTTTCAAATAACTGTTATTTTATGCAATTTTATGTTATGCAGAGTTACGTTTTTCCGTTAGTATATTTGAAATGAAGTTTGAAATAAGAACAGCGATCTGATTGGCTATCATCTTCATCACAGTCATTATCAAGCAAGAACAAGTCAACTTGACATGGAAATGGTTGAAACTTTTCTTTGTTTTTGGCTTGTTGCCAGTCGTCTGAATAACAAAGCACACAAGCACTAAGAACGGATGCATTTTTACGCGTCCACTTTCAAACTGATGCAATAATAGTTAACTGAGAAATGTGTAGGCAAGGCAACTGAGTGTGAAACCTTCAACAGTAAAACATCACACCATTGCACGGCAGCATATTTACAATTGAAGTATAGAACAGCATTTGTTATGATATGTTATGCAACAGATGTCTATAGCTTCTAAAACAGGGCTAGTTCTGATATACTTATGTCTTATGCAATGCGAGGCATGCGCTTGATCATTCGTGTAGTCCTAAAACATCCCAGAAATATCTAAATCGTCAAGTCAGAGGAGCTTAAAAATTGTGTTTTCATAACCAAGCTCTTATAAATTCATGTCTGTGTGGAAAGCGCATTGCGTGATACCTGTGACCAGAAGTGCACGACATTCGGCTCATCGCTTATGAAGGACCACTAAATCTAATTTCAAAACGAATAATACAAATTAGCAACAACAAATGTCATCCCCGCCCGCTTTCCCCCCGGCAACCTCCATACATCTCTGTGTTAAGTGGTTCCCTTCGATCACGCAGCACAGGCCGGTTTGTAATTTATCCTTTGGCCTTTTTCTACAATGGCCGTTTTCACTTGAATCGGCTACGTCAACTTCCGGGTGAAATGGATGTGTGTCGTCGCTTGCCAAAGAACTGCGAGCCTGGTCCGACATTTTCTGCTACATAAAAACCTTTTAGCTTTGTGATTCACTGCCCCTGTCAGCCGGAGTGAATATTACCACCGGGCGTCGCGAGCACGTGACCGTCACGTGATGTAAATATATCCTCACGCCTGGAGTGGACTTGTCTGAAAGAAAAGTCACAGAATATTTATAATAGGTAGTGATATATATATGACAATACGCGGCAGTTGATCACTGATAAAATTAGCAGATTCGATAGCCGTTTGTTGTCAATGCTATCAACCTTGTTCCCACGCACGCGCTTTAAAATAATTTGTTTACAGTTACAGTTATGTGACAATATATTTAACAATTAAAATCTAAGATTTTAAAACAAATATATCATACGAAACTAATATATAAATAACCACGTTTATGACGTACTGAAATTATAAGTTTTCTTTAAAAAATTGCGGTTGCGGACAGGGGGCGGATATTGCCGACTTAGCCGATGATTCGATTCTGGCGCCTAATCCGAAATCGACGTACGTTCAGCTCGACGATGAAAGACAGAGGGGCGTTGGTCGTGTTTGAAGGGTGCGACAGGTGTGGCAAAACAACCCAGTGTAACCAACTGCTCCAGAAACTCACGGCAGATGGAATACCAGCGAAGCTGATGAAATTTCCTGGTAAGAGTGTTGATGATGATGATTTTTATGGAGAAGCATGTGCAATGTAAATGAATGACTCACACCCCTAAACTTTATGTACAAAGTAAGTCAGTCACACACACGCACGCACACACACACACACGCACGCACGCACACACACACACACACACATACACGCAAACACGCACGCTTTTGTTTACAAAATTGCTGGCCAAGCTCCCTAGTACATGTGTACAACATTGATGATCCCCTTTGGCTTTACCACCCCAGAACAAAATGGGTGACCACCAGATCCAGAGCCATTAATGTTTCTTAAAGGGGCACTGATCCAGAGTGATTAATGTTTCTCTCCAACAGTCTAATCACGAAACCACGCGTCAATCTGGTCGGCACCTGCTCCCTGGACCGGGACGGACGAACACAGGGACAGAGCTACTGTCCACCTTGGCAAAATGCCTTCAACCTAAACAGCGGGACATTGGGAAGGGTGGATGCCCATCAGATGCCGTTGTTTGTTTGAAAATATCCACAGTAGTTCTTGTCTGATCGCAATAAAGTATCCCACCACTGTAGGCTTTTCAGATATTCTAATGCCAGGATGGTATAGTGACTGATCCTATTTGATCTTATTTCTGTGTTTTTAATATCATAAATATAAGAGACATAATAATATTTTTACATGACATGATTAAATATCATGGTTAAAAATAACCATGATATTTAATCATGTCATGTAAAAATATTATGTCTCTTATATTTATGATATTAAAAACACACATTTGGTTTATTTGAATCCGTAAACTAAACAACCCCACTTTGCCATTGATAGAAAAATCTGAAAATTGGGTAAATAAGGTAAATATACAGTTTTAATTTAAAGGGCCACTGATGCAGAGCGATTAATGTTTCCAGCCAACACTCTAATTACGAAACCTAGCTGCAAATTGGTCAGCCCCTGCTCCCTCGACAGTGACAGACACGGGGACTGGGCTGCTGTCCACTGTGGCAGAATTTCTTCAACCTAATCAGTGGGACATTAGGAAGGGGTCTTCTCGTTCACACAGCAGCTTAGGGGTTTAATAGTTATGCTAAAAAACAAAAGGTGCTGGGTAAGTGAGAATGACCACCTATGATAATAGGGCTGCGCGATATAACCGGTTTACCGGTATTTACCAGTTCAGACATGAAAACGATGCGTATTGTGATACGCTGATCGAAAACCGGTATTTTGACTTGCATTAGGAAAACTTTGTAACACTAGGAAATCTTCAGATATTTCCTTTTTTCATTTGTGCCAAATATTATTCACATTTTTATTTTTAATCATGAATAAAAGTTGTTATTAAAGCTTAATCAAGCATAGTGATTTTGCTGTGTATTTCCTCTATAAATCAAGCATTACCTCGCGATTATAAGTAGTTTTTTGTTTAAAAATACTTCATGCAATATATTGCAATACATATCTCAATACATGCTTTCGCATCGCAATATATCGCAATGTGAAAATTCTCTGCAATACCCACCCCTATATGATAATAAGGGTGGATGCCCATAAGATGCCGTTATTTGAAAATATCCGCTACAGTTCTTGTCTGATTGTAATAAAGTATCCCAGGCAGTGTAGGCTTTTTCAGATTTTCAAATGTTTGGATGGTATAGTGACTGATCCAATTTGATCCTATCTCTGTGTTTTTACCTCGATATTTAATCATGCAAAAATATGATGTCTATTATGTATGCTATGATATCAAAAACACACATTTGATAAATTTGAATCCATAACCTAAACAACCCAACTTTGCCATTGCTAAATAAAATCTGAAATTTTACTTAGGTACTTAGGTATATACAGTTTTTAACGAAGTAATAATAATAATTGGCTTGTATAGCGCCTACTTTCCATCACAGATGCTCAACGGCGCTGCATACATCGTTAAAAACACAATAAGTGTGAAAAGAGTTCTATTCAGAAGCCATCTTGAGGAAGTAGGTTTTGAGCAAGTTCTTGAAAAGTGACTGGGACTCAGTTCGTCTGAGGGTGACTGGACGATTGTTCCATAGAGCTGGTGCTGCTACAGAAAAGGCTCTATCACCCATGGATGTTTTAGTGCTGGCTGTGTTAGTCTTAACGTATCTATTGATCTAAGAGCTCAGCAAATGCTTATATATATTTCTTATGCAACAATGAAGTTCGATCCGTTCATATCCTCAAAACAGTGTCGGCCCATAAGGTTTTCTTCAGACAATCAAACTTGCATGCAATACAGCGATTACTACCAGTGTTCACGAATAGCGTCTGACACTCTGACAAATCCAGCAGATTCGCCAAAGGTCTGATAGAAGTCTACAACCCGCCGGCCCCAGTGTCCGACTGTATATTTTACAATGACTGACTGAAGTTGTGACATGTGTCACTTGTTTGCTGTTTATAAATCTTATGTTTGTTAATAATTTCAATGCCGGTATATAGCGTTCATTCTGTCCATCTGTCTGTCCGTCCGTCCGTCCCGAAACTTTGTCTGGAGCATATCTCTTAAAGTTTACATGCTAGGTTCACCAAACTTCACACACGATAGTCATTACCCATTGATGTGCCTTCTGCTATTTTGAATGTTTTCAGAATTTTGGTTTTTTTTGCTGTTTCCATGGAAACACAACTTAGTGCCAAATGTGTTTGATGGTTTTGTCCGGAGCATATCTCTTAAAGTTTACATGCTAGGTTCACCAAACTTCACACACATGTTATTGTTAATCATTACCCATTGATGTGCCTTTTGCTATTTTAAAGTTTTTCATAAGTTTGTGCTTTTGCTGTTTCCATGGAAACACGACTTAGTGCCAAATATGTTTGAATGTTTTGTCTGGAGCATATCTCTTAACTTAAAGTTTACATGCTAGGTTCACCAAACTTCACACACATGTTAATCATTACCCATTGATGTGCCTTTTGCTATTTTGAATGTTTTCAGAATTTTGCTTTTTTTTGCTGTTTCCATGGAAACACAACTTAGTGCCAAATGTGTTTGATGGTTTTGTCCGGAGCATATCTCTTAAGTTTACATGCTAAGTTCACCAAACTTCACACACATGTTAGTCATTACCCATTGATGTGCCTTTTGCTATTTTAAAGTTTTTTCAGAATTTAGTTTTTTTGCTGTTTCCATGGAAACACAACTTAGTGCCAAATGTGTTTGGTGGTTTTGTCCGGAGCATATCTCTTAACTTAAAGTTTACATGCTAGGTTCACCAAACTTCACACACATGTTAATCATTACCCATTGATGTGCCTTTTGCTATTTTAAATTTTAAATGTGTGCAACATGAGTCAGTGACATTCTTCACCAACGTCCACTTTATTGTGTGCAACATGAGTCGGTGACATTCTTCATCTACGTCCACTTCATTGTGTGCAACATGAGTCGGTGACATTCTTCATCTACGTCCACTTCATTGTGTGCAACATGAGTCAGTGACATTCTTCATCTACGTCCACTTCATTGTGTGCAACATGAGTCGGTGACATTCTTCATCTACGTCCACTTCATTGTGTGCAACATGAGTCGGTGACATTCTTCATCTACGTCCACTTCATTGTGTGCAACATGAGTCAGTGACATTCTTCATCTACGTCCACTTCATTGTGTGCAACATGAGTCGGTGACATTCTTCATCTACGTCCACTTCATTGTGTGCAACATGAGTCAGTGACATTCTTCATCTACGTCCACTTCATTGTGTGCAACATGAGTCGGTGACATTCTTCATCTACGTCCACTTCATTGTGTGCAACATGAGTCGGTGACATTCTTCATCTACGTCCACTTCATTGTGTGCAACATGAGTCAGTGACATTCTTCATCTACGTCCACTTCATTGTGTGCAACATGAGTCAGTGACATTCTTCATCTACGTCCACTTCATTGTGTGCAACATGAGTCAGTGACATTCTTCATCTACGTCCACTTCATTGTGTGCAACATGAGTCGGTGACATTCTTCATCTACGTCCACTTCATTGTGTGCAACATGAGTCGGTGACATTCTTCATCTACGTCCACTTCATTGTGTGCAACATGAGTCAGTGACATTCTTCATCTACGTCCACTTCATTGTGTGCAACATGAGAGTCAGTGACATTCTTCATCTACGTCCACTTCATTGTGTGCAACATGAGTTGGTGACATTCTTCATCTACGTCCACTTCATTGTGTGCAACATGAGTCGGTGACATTCTTCATCTACGTCCACTTCATTGTGTGCAACATGAGTTGGTGACATTCTTCATCTACGTCCACTTCATTGTGTGCAACATGAGTCAGTGACATTCTTCATCTACGTCCACTTCATTGTGTGCAACATGAGAGTCAGTGACATTCTTCATCTACGTCCACTTCATTGTGTGCAACATGAGTTGGTGACATTCTTCATCTACGTCCACTTCATTGTGTGCAACATGAGTCGGTGACATTCTTCATCTACGTCCACTTCATTGTGTGCAACATGAGTTGGTGACATTCTTCATCTACGTCCACTTTATTGTGTGCAACATGAGACAGTCAAGTTCAGTTGTATGTCAGGTTTCCACAGAAAAAAAAAAAAATAATGTTTCCATAAATGATTACTGTAATCAGTAAGTACATGGCAAAACTATTATCTAACATGTATATAAAGTTTAGTAGAGTCAAGGAGAAAGTCTTGTGAGCTGCTGATCCTTGTCACGTTATATATAGCAATATCAGTCATTTCCATGTCCCAAAGTGGGAAGGGGGGGGAAGTGAGCTGTGCTCACTTGTACACTTGTTAGTGATAACACCACTCAGATTACCCTACAAAGGTTCCCATTTGGCATTTCTTGTGTCTGGAGTAAATACTCATCATTAGAAATAGATGTCTGATGTGGCAAATGTATTACATCTTATGTAATATGCGCATGGAAGTGCAGCAAGAGGAATTATCAGCTGAGTTTAAAAACAAACATCGATCAAAGGATTAACCGATAATACGCTGTTTGATTAATTG